GGAGTCACCTGACGTGAGGGGGTCACCTGACGTGAGGGGGTCACCTGACGTGAGGGGGTCACCTGACGTGAGGGGGTCACCTGACGTGAGGGGGTCACCTGACGTGAAGGCGTCACCTGACGCGAGGGTGTCACCTGATGTGAGGGGGTCACCTGACGTGAGGGGGTCACCTGACGTGAGGGGGTCACCTGACGTGAGGCATCACCTGATGTGAGGGGGTCACCTGACGTGAGGGGGTCACCTGACGTGAAGGCGTCACCTGACGTGAAGGCGTCACCTGACGTGAAGGCGTCACCTGACGTGAGGGGGTCACCTGACGTGAGGGGGTCACCTGACATGAAGGCGTCACCTTACGTGAGGGGGTCACCTGATGTGAGGGGGTCACCAGATGTGAGGGGGTCACCTGACGTGAGGGGGTCACCTGACATGAGGGGGTCACCTGACGTGAAGGCGTCACCTGACGTGAGGGGGTCACCTGACGCGAGGGGGTCACCTGACGTGAAGGCGTCACCTGACGTGAGGGGGTCACCTGACGCGAGGGGGTCACCTGACGTGAGGGGGTCACCTGACGCGTCACAATAAGACGCAGAGGGAACTTTGGAAAAGCATCAGTACGTTGACGAATCAGGAGGGAGAATGTGTTCATTAGAAAGTAGACTACGGTCTGGTTTGTGAACTGGGAGACGTGTCTGTAGGTAACTGGTGTTTTYCCAGTCAGGGTTCTGTACAGAACATGAACCATGAACAGATCAGTGAGAATGAAGAGTTGGACAGTTTATGAAGRAGGACAGGTCACAGTGTGTTTTAAATGAAGCTCCAGAGACAAACACAATAAGGTCCAGTTTGTGAAGAAGGGTTTAGAGGCAGACCAGTACACCACCACAGTCTAGGACTGGAAGGATCATCATTTAATCCAGGAGCTGTTGGACACAGTGACTGAAGATGATTTGTTGTAAAGAAAAACMGTTTCTTTCCTTAAAATGTTTTGAGGAGAGATTAGCAGAGTGAATCTGTCTGATGTGGGTTTTGTAACAACTTTCATATCTTGTAATGTTCCTCTGATCCAGATGAGCCCAACCTTGTGCCTCASAAAGTCCTCAGTCCTGAGACCCAGCAGGCCTTCCCTCTGGACCAGCCCTCCCCGTACAGGATCAAGTCCTGCAGCCCCTCCTACGTGGAGCACAGCGGGGTCCTGCCGGGCTATGAGAGCCAGGAGGCCAGGACCTACCTGGACAGCACCCGGCCMGTGGGCCTGGCTCTGAGCCCTCGTATCGAGATCACCCCCTCTCGTGAGCACTACAGCCAGGGCCGGGACTTCCTGCAGAACCAGCACCTGAACATCAGCCCCCGACCCACCCTCACCGTCCCCGGCCACGAGAGCCTGGCCTTCCGGGAGCCCCAGTGTTTGAGTCCGGCCAGCAGCAACTCCTCCACCAGCTGGCACTCWGAGAGCTACTCCCCCTGGGCGTCCCCCTGCGTGTCTCCCAGCAACGGCCAGAACCCGTCCGACCTGTGCCCCCGGCTGCAGGGCATCCACACCAGCTCCCCCCGCACCTCCCCGGGCACCTCCCCGCGCACCAGCCTGGCCGAGGACGCCGGCCCCGGGGCCCGCTCGCCCTCGCCCCGGCCCGGCTCCCGCTCCACCTCCCCCCAGGGCAAACGCACCTACGAGATGTACCGGAACCCAGGGCTGATCCCGGGCCACCGCTCCCCCAGCCCCTCCCAGCACGGCGGCCACGAGGAGCTCAACGTAGGAGCCCACTTTCCACACGGCGGGCCGGTCGAGGCCGTGAACGGGTTTGGCAGCGCTCAGCCAGGACTGGTGCCCTCGAAAATAGTGAAGACCTCCAACCAGGTCTACAGCCTGTACCCAGAGAACCAYGGCGAGGGGAACTACCTGGTGTCCGGTGAGCAGGACATCAAAACCAAACCTGCAGCAGAGTCTTTCTTCGTCATCCCACAGATCTGGCCCAAGCCTCTGGTTTCCAGCATCTGCAGGTGAGTCGGTGACTCAGAGACAGCTGGGCGCTCCGGCCTCCTGTCGTTTTAACGCTCAATACTTTCTGATCTGCAGCATCCCTCTGGCTTCACTCCCCCCGCTGGAATGGCCCCTCCCGACTCGCACGGACCAGTTTGAGCTCCACATCGACGTGCAGCCCAAACCCCACCACAGGGCTCACTATGAGACCGAGGGAAGCAGGGGTGCAGTCAAAGCCCCCACAGGAGGGCACCCTGTTGTGCAGGTACGGAGCCGTCCAGTTTTTTGTTCATGTCTGGGTTCAGGTGGTCCTGATGAGACCCTGTGTTTAATCACAGGCAGTCACACTGCAGGTCTTAATGCTCACTTCTGATTGTTCACTTTATATTTTAAATACGAMCTCCATCATTCACACTTCTGTTTACACAAGTAGCTAAACATGGATGCTTCATGTTAGCATGTTGGTTCTGAAGCTGATTAAATTATTATCTAATGTTTGTTCAATGTTTACATCTGATGCTCCGGTGCTTTTTTTTTTTTTTTGGGATGAAGCAACGTGCTTAAAGTAAAGTATCGATCCAGTAACTTTAGGATAAATATGATCCAAACACGTTACATCTGTTTCTGCACACTCATCCAGGACATGGAAAGTTAAAAGAAAAAAGAAAAAGCAGCTGGATGTCTGTAGCAGAAGATGTGTGGAGCTGGTAGTTTTTATCTTTAGAAACCAGGCTGTCCAGTTAAAATAGTTAATATAAGGAAATTCCTCCTGGTGGAGATCTCCTCAAAACTCTGCATTTTCCATCAGTTTGAAGAACATTTTACTAAAATCTTGGAATCAATCAGTAGAAGATTGAAAACCAGACTTTAACCTGAACTTTACCTGAGATCAGAACTGAAACTTTAATTCTCCTTATTTTGTTATTTTATTTCCACACTGAGCAGCAGTATCATGTGATACTTTTATCATGAAACATCCTCTGCTACATACAACACCTCCTGTAGGAACRAAGCASAACAAGTTCATAAACCACAGAAACCAGAGATTATTTTACAGACTAAATCAACTAGACTCAGATAAGAAGTAGAAAAATATAATTTTTTTGTCCTTAGTTTGTGGCCCCTCCAGATGGACGGTGCCCTTAGCACTTGCCTACACTGCCTATGCCTCGGGTTGGACCTGACAAAGATAAAGATCAAACTCTTAGAAAAAACAAATAAAAAGAACMAGTTTCTATTTGGACATCTTCTTTGAATAAAATTTAAATAATAAACTTTTCATATTTAAAGTGTATCTTACCCCACTGTGAAAAGATAACTCCGCCCCAAGGTGAAATTTGAAAAATGCATCAAAGGGGGTAGGGG